ATCATGCCAAAAAAGAAGCAATTACAAGGGAATAATGAAAATATCGACTTTTATAGTGGGAACAACAGACCTTTTGGAACCAATTCACTAACATGGAGTGAAGGTGAATCGCAAACCAATTTAAATGTAAGTGAGAATGAGCCCTCTTTTCCCCTATGCTATTTAACATCTATGTCAAACCACTGGATGGAGTCCTGGGGATATTTGTGCTGCCTTTATGGCTTTGTTCAGAAATTTACTAGACTATTTGTTGTTAACTGCTCTGATGATGACTCTTGTGGATGAGACTTCTCCAAGACTCCATGTCCTCTACTTCTAGGTCCTGCAAATTCATACTTATGACCTCCTTATCTATCCATCCAGGATGTGGCTCTCTTCTCTTTCTACTTCCCTCCACCTTTCCTAGCATTATTGTCTTTCTTAATGAGCCATGCCTTCTCATGATGTGGCCAAAGTATGACAGTGTCAATTTAATAATCTTGACTTCCAGGGAGAGTTCAGGCTTGATCTATTCAAGGGCCCAATTATTTGTCTTTTTCACTGTCCATGGTACCCTCAGCACTCTTCTCTAGCATCACATTCCAAATGAATTGATTTTCTTCTTATCTGATTTTTTTCACTGACCAGCTCTTACATCCATACATTGTGATGGCGAATGCAACTCTAACTTTAGTGCTCAGTTTTACATCTTTACTCTTTAGGATCTTTGCTAGCTCTTTCTTGGCTGCCATTCCCATTCCCAGTCTTCTTCTGATTTCTTGACTGCAGTCTCCATTCTGTTCGATGTTTGATCCAAGGTACAGGAACTCTTTTACTATTTCAATTTCCTCATTGCTACATATGTGTAGATCCTCCATGGTCATTATTTTTGTTTTCTTTATGTTCAGTATTAAGCCTGCCTTTGCACTTTCTTCTTTGAGCATGAACAGGGCTACCAAAAGAGACAGGAACATAAACATATGGAAGCCCTGCCCAATTTTGTGTGTTCATGCAAAATATATGGAAGTCTGACTTAATCTGTGTGCCTAGATATGCAGAGTAATAGCAAGTACATTTATATACTGCTTATCAGTGAAGTTAAGCATTCCCTAAGTGGTTTACCAATGTGTAAGCTAATTGCCCCCAACAAGCTGGGTAGTCATTTTAGCAACCTTGGAAGGATGCAAGACTGAGTCAAGCCTGAGCCCCTGGCTGGTACTGAACTCACAACCTTATGGTTTGTGAGTGAGTGGTTGCAGTACAGGCATTTAACTACTGCACCACCAGGGCTCTTCAGAGGTCTGGATTTTGATGCTTTAATGGGCTAGTCTACACATTCAATATATTTCTCATTCAAATCAAATAGAAGATGAGTTGGCCACATGTGATTCACAGGAGTTTTGCAGCTCCCTTAACATCTCCTTAAACTCTGCAGAAAAAGTCATCTCAGTTTTTACTAGAGTATCTGCTGAAATCTACAGAAATGCATATTATGTCATGTGTGATCATCCATCTGCTTTGCAAGCATTAGGATGACTGTGAATTTGTACAGAAAAATAAAGGTAATTAACCGTCAATGCAAATGTGAGAAAATGCACAGCAATTTCATAGTAAACATATGTGTAGACTAGCCTCCAGACACCCATGCATCACTATAGCCCTATGTGTGTTCAGGCTTATTTCTTTATGACTTCTGCATCAGGAGGGGCTATGCCTATACTGAACTGGATGCAGTAATAGGATTGATGGGAGAGTTGACAAAATGAGTCTGAATTTGACAATACAGAGAGTCTGTTGATAGGCTGCTCCCATATATGAGAAATGGGAAATGTTTCTGCCTTCAAAATAAATGAGTTCCAGATAGAGATGAAATGGGAACTCAACAATTTCCTGATTGGACTTGAAATTTTGAATTCCTGACCACTTGGGATCATTTGGTGGAAGAATAACACCTGGAAATATCCTGGGAACATTTTTGTTGTTGTTGTTGTTCTTAGCACAACAAAAACAGTAGAGTTTTTGAACTGCACAGTTTGAGAAACTGTGTCACTTTTCAAAAATAAAATGTGCACTTAACTAAATGGGGACTAAAGGCTGTGCAGCTTTCCAAGAAAAAGGTTACATTGTTGTTGTTTTTTTGCCAGATGTACAATGGGGGAAAAGTGCACAAAATACAAAATAAATAAAAATGGAGTACTATATGTTTGTTATTCTATATATGTGTGACTGGATTGCAATCCAATTGTGTGGACAGATTGGATTGCAACAGAGGAGTCTTTATTGAGATACAAATGGACTTTAGTGCTCAGTTTTACATCTAGATTGGTTTGCCATAGGGCGGTATAGAAATAAAAAAATTATTATTATTATTATTATTATTAAATTTCCTGGACTTTGAAAATCTCCCAATTGCCAGAAGGAGGAGAAGCCAACCTGCAAGAGATGTCCTCTCCATACCATCTTAACTAAGTACAGAAACAAAACAAACAAAAACAGGCATCTTACAAACATCTCCAATTTTAATCCTGTTGGGTTTGTAATATCTTGCCTGATGAAGAAGCGTAGAGCTTCAAAAGCCTGCAACAAGTATAATGTGCATTTTGGTTGGCCAATAAAGGTATCACTGTTTGGTCGATTTTTGTCTGAATATCTGTGCAATATTGGTCTTCTTTTCTTGTGGATGATGTACTACTGTTTTTTGCACTTTTGGGACTGCAATTCCCATTCCCATTTGACAGCTAGCAACATTTAAAGTTGTGAAATATTCCAGCTTCTGTTTTTTCTCTCCATCCTTTTAGAAAGTTCTGTAGCTTTTGTGGAAAAGCTGTGCAACTTTGTGGAAAACTATGTTCTGTAGCTTTCCTCAGACAATGGCAATTTCCCTTATTGTGGGTGGGGAAAAGTTTCTGAGTGTCCTAACACTAGAGCAGAAACATTGATTGCTTTTCCTCTTGTGAACAGGGAAATCTAGAATTCTCATCCCTATCACATTTCAGAGTGTTTCTGGATTTATCATTGCCATTAGAAATCCAAGTAATCTGAGCTTCAGTTGGCATGCAGTCCAGGACAGGGATACCATGCTAGCTGATGCATTGGGATCCTTATGTTTAGATTACTATAATGTGTTTTATGTGGAGGGATACTTATCCTTGCTCTGGAAGCTGTACCTGATGCAGAAAACACTTCCCAGAAGAGTGAATGTGACACCTGACCATACAGATATTGTACTGATGTTGGAGCAACTGTACTGGCTATCTATTAGCTAATGGGCCACATTAAAGATCTTGGAGCATGTAAAGCTATGAACTTGTCAAAAAAGCCTTGATGCAGGGGTAGAGTCATTATGGAGGGGAGGGGGGAGAAAATGAAGCCATTGCTCTCAAAATAAAAATTCTTTCCCCAAATGGATTTTTTCTTCAGTCTCCAAATTTCTAATATTGCAGAGAGTGAGACATTGATAATTTCACATACCCTGCATTCATATGAGAGTGAGTGTGGTGTAGTGGTTTGAACATTAGACTAGGACTCTGGAGACCAGTGTTTAATTCCTTGTTCTGAGATGAAAACGCACTGGGTGACCTTGGGTAAGTTACATACTCTCAGCCCCAGAACCCCCCATGATAAGTTTGCCTTAGGGTTGCAATAAGTTGGAAACAATTTGAAGGCACAGAACAGTAACAAAGAAAAGATGCCATATACATTTGCTGCATTTGCATTATCTTGCCTGCTACATTCAAGTGGACCTCAGTTTATATCCCCCCTACTTTGGTCTGTGCAAACAGCAAGATAGTTGGAATATGATTTGCTAGTTCTGATATGATCTGTAGGTTGTGATCTGGTGAGCTCCTCTGTGGTTTACCTTGTGGTCTGCTTTTGACTCTGATATTTAACAGGTAGCAGCTGCAGGGCTGTTAAATATTTCCTTTTCTCCCAACCTTTCCCTAACTAATTGTACTGTTGACTTTGTCAATTGGTATCCCCCTCCTCCCTAGATATGGCAAATGGTGAAATAAATGATTATATAAATAAATGTATAAAAGTCTGCATGTGTGTGTCTGTGTGTGTGTCTGTGTTTATAACTGTGATTTTGGATTCATAGAAAAACTCAACAAGGTTTGCTATGTAATGCAGAAGACTAATACAGAAGCTGTCAAGAAATATATTCCTGTTTAGGCACATCTGAATACTTTGTTGTGATGTGGAAGCTTATCATTTCATTACTGTAGAAATTCCTAGGCAAGGTAGCTGTTTTGGTCTGTTCCAGCAAAATCAGTGAGGAGTATTGTGGCACCTTAAGAGACTAATAGGTTTATTTGGTATAAACTTTAATGGACAGCAACCCACTTAATCAGAAACAGATCTATGTCAAATAAAACCTTTTAAGGTGCCACTATACTCTTTCTTTGTTGCTTATTCCTTTATTCAAAATCAGTTGTGATGAAAGTTTGATTCAGATAGGAAACAAATGCCCAGGATTATTATAATTTAAAATATAAAAACTCTTTAAAAGATGAAGCTCTTCTAAATCATATTGAGTGAGTATATAAATTCATTTCATAAAGGTGGCATAGCAGATTTACCTTACACATTGAAGAGCATGGCTGAGAAGTAAAAGAAGCATAAGGAAGAAAATGCTGAAAAGACAGCACTGACTCCAGCATAAGGAAGCTTATCATTATGGATAGTCAGAATTTTGTTCTGTATGAAACAGAGTGAACAGAATTTGAACAAATATGTACAATTCAGTGCCTTCTGCCTGGACTGCCTTTCTCAGATCCTTTAGATTCTGATTTTTTAGGCACTTTGATTCCACAACAATTTCTTTGTATCCCTGGTGCCTTTTCTATCACTATTTAACTTGCTTTTTAACTAAATAAATAAATAAATAGCAACAACCCTGACATTCACTTTGAAAAACTCATATCATGGGACAAAGTTTTAAAATGTACCCTTAAAATCATTGCAAAGCAATAATTTAACAAGATAGAGACAATAGTACAGCATCACAGCAATAAAATGTTCTAAAACAGTAGCCAAACTTACCCAGCCCCAAACCACTAGCATTGTGGGACTTTCCTTTCTTCTCCCTCTGAGAGCCATCTTTGTTGGCCATAATATGCTTTGCATGGTTTTTCAGCCCACTCACTCTACTCAAACAGGTTTTTCAGCCCACTCACTCTACTCAAACATGAATATGCATGAGTGCTGCAGAGTGAGAGACTGTATTTGCCCACATCCTGGTTCTGCTAAGTGTAGACTTTTGTCATCAGAACAGTCCTATTGGATCCCGGCAAGCAACACAGCCAGATCCAAGGGAAGGGATTACATTAAACATGAACATCAAGATCCAGTTCTGCAGATGTTCAGTGACTCCAGTGCAAAGGGATAGCTCAAATGTTGTGGGAGATGGGTAGGTTAGTGTGAATTTAATTGAGCTCCCCGAGGTGTTCATTTATTTCTCCCAAATGGATTTAGCAATTTGGTCAGCTTCTTTGTAATATGGACAAAAACCTGGAATGGATTCATAGCCCCCCTGACATCAGAGCCACCATCCTTCACTGAATAACACACACACACACACGCACACACACAAAAGACAGTAACATGGCCAAACTTTGCTGCTGCAAAAGTCTAGCTCTCTTTTGTCTTCTCAAGAAAGTTTATAGTAGAAAGTTAGCCAGGAATCTTTACTCCCAAACAACATGGTTCATTTGGACTCATCTTTCATGCAATATTTCCTAAGATACTTTGAAATGTCTGTGGTCTCTAGTGCAGTATTCATTCAGGACTGACATCAGGTTTGAGAGAAGGATGATCTTAGCCATGGTACTACGGTGCTACCAAGGTGCCCACAGAGGTAAATTTATTGGCAGCAACAGTAGCAGCAGTGTAATATCTGTTTTTCTTTTTTATACACATTTTTACTGTGGAGTGGTGGTGGTTAGTTTGGTGCTAGGGAGCTAGGCAGCAACCTGAAACGAGAAGCACCAAGCATAGTTAAGGTTATTGACATCTTCACTGAGGGTCAGAAGCAGAAAGGCATGGGGTAAAAACAGCCTCAGCCTGCTTGGGAACAGTGAGGGTGAGTGGGAAGGGAAGGAGAATCTCATCCCTTCATGCCACATGACTACCATTAATTGTTGCTGCTGTGGAAGTGACTTATCATACCAGTGGGACTAACAGAATGAAAATAGGAGCCTATTGGTGGGTTTTCCCTGTCAATCAAAAGCAGTGCTACAGAAACAAAGGAAATGCAAAGCATCAACTGAATAGACCCAATGTATGATATGTGCTGGTCAAATACACCTTTATCTTGCTTTAGTTCCAATTTACTGCCTCTTGTAATAAAAAAATCCTTCATCTCTCTTTCACTGAAAAGGAAAAGGCTCAGCAGCAACTAGTGTCAGCCTTGGAAGCTTTGGGAGTGGGAGTGCGAGTACAGATGCTTTGTTAGGTCCCTTTTGGTCAATGACCAAATTATATTATTTCTAAACAAAAGAGTCTTTTGTCTCACCCAATGAATGCCATTCTGTATTGCTTCTGAACATCCTCAATCTCACTGTCTTTTCCTACAACACCTGAAGCAATGCTGGCAGCATGAACAGGGTCAATGAAACCACTGAAAGCTCTCAACCCTGGGATCAATGATTGCTGAAGGAGAAAGATGGTAATTGCATAGATAATTGAGCACATAATTGATTGTCTCTTTGTTGTCTAAGTGATGGCATGCTGTTGCTTTACCATATGACATTATTGTTAACTGCGTGTATTGGTAATATAAATCAGTTCAAGGCCTCAGGTGATGCAATGTGAGATTTCCTGTACAAATTTAACATGGAATATACCACAAGGTGCAGGCTTTAGCTTAGTGGTATAACGTATCATTTATACACAATACAATAACTTTATTGTGATCAAAGACCAGAAAATGATTTACACACAGAAGATCCTAGTTCAAACCCTGGTACCTCCACCTAGGGCTGGAAAAGACCCTGGTCTAAACCCTTGAGTACTTCTGCCAACTGGTATTAAATATTTGTCTGCTAGATGGACCAATGATATAAGATAGTTTCCTATGCATATGAAGCACATTGCCTTGTAGTGGAGCATAAAGTGTAGTGCAGTTAATTGTTATGAAAAAGTGTTATTTTGTGATACAGTAAGCATACTTAACTGCCTTAAATTGCTTCACTTCTTGAACATCTTGAAAAAATTTTAAGGGTACTTTTGAAACTTAAAATGTAAATGCAATGAATGTGTTTGCAAACATGTATATTATGCTGGTACATTTAACTGAAATCTGTGACTACAGATTCCTGTAGCTTCTACACTTGTTGGCAAAACCAAGTTTGCCTCTATATTATGTGTGAAATTTCCTTTTATCTAATCTTTCTTCTTCTTCTTTAGGGGTTGAACCTCAAATAAGCACCTTGAAATGCATGGCATGGTAAGATTTCTCACAGCCTTTTCTAAGTTTAATAAATGATCTCCAGTCAGGAAATGATTTAACATAATTCATTTCTCTTGCTCCAGAATCATCATCCTTAGATTTGAAAGAAAAGATTCTCCATTTTGGTATACTAAACAAGATCAAAGTTTACTATGATCTATTCTGCATTCCTTTGAAAAGCTAATCTGAATCATTATGCTTCAGACAGCTTGTCTCCTGGAAGGCTTTTCTTTAATGAACCATTATTTTACATAGTTAAAGATCTATTCAACTAAAATCAAACATTTTACAATTTTACAGCTGGTCTAATTACGAAGACATTGTCAGGTCAATTTAGGACCAAATGTAGTGTATGTGTGAAAAATATTTTCATGAATATGTCTGTACAGGGTATTAAGAGAGGAAAATTGGATGGGAAAGGATTGATTTCAGTACCTCTACAGGAAGCCTATAAACCTACACTGCTATATTTCTGAATTCTTTTCACAGTGAATTGTAGCTCACAGAACCCAGTTTATCTCAAGTTCAAAAATGAATATTAGTATGCTGCTAAAATTTTGACATAAATAGATAAAAAGAAAACATGCAAACACACCAAGATTAACAGACTGGAAAATAATTTTCTTCTTCAGTGGTATCTCTGACATTTATCTATGCAATAAGAAACATGAGGGCCAACATGGTGTAGTGGTTTGAATGTTGGACTAGGACACTAAGAGACTAGGGTTCAAATCCTCACTTGGCCATTGTAACCTACTGAGCAACCTTGGCTAAGTCACACTCTCACATCCTCAGAGGTAAACAAGGACAATCTTCTCTGAACAAATTCTGCTAAGAAAACAGAGTTATAGGTTGCCTTAAGATCTTCATAAATCATAAATGAACTGAAGGCACACAACAGCAACAATTGTAACACATACTGACAGAATGTAATTCTCTATTAACATTTTACTAGTTTTAGCAGAGGAAGCTGAGGCTACTGCTTGACTGTTCCACAAAAGCCTGGGTTCTTGCAGATACAGTTTTATTTGTATGGCCACCCATCAGTGTAAGGATGTGCCTGAGCATGTTCTGGGACATTTCCACAGTAGACTATGACTTCACTTTAAT